TGTTATTGTTGAACATATTAAAGTTAGATTTGCTGTGACCACGTGTAAACAAGCTGCTGCCTTTACACGCCCACCTTCTGCTCGATGAAGCACCACCAACACCACTTATGAACCTCTGCATTGAAAAACAACAACCATGGAGCCAGTTTGACCCGATTCCTCTCGTGATGACACCACTGGGACTGCCTGTGTGTTACTGGTGAGGCTCACTGGGAAACTGGTGAACACTCCCTGTTCTACAAGCTCTCACAGCTGATATCTACGGTGGCCCCGAGAGACAAAACACGTGCAAACTCCAAACAGTTATCACAGCTCATTGTTTTTACACATGTATGTGAGCAATGAGCCAAATGTAGTAATGACAACATATTAAACAAACAACATTTGTCTCTTATATATAACACATCTGTATATACACTGTCACAGATACTCGTGTTTGACTGAAGATTTAAGGTGATAGGAAATATAAATAACTGCAACTTGAATCTTTACTGAAGCTCAGAGTTTGACACAGAGTTCATTCACTGCTGTAATAACTAATAATGATTAATATAATATTGGCCATATTATATTTACATTACACAGTGAGATGATTTTAGTCTCATGAACAACATTAGCTGATTGATATTTACTAACTAATCTTAAATGACTTCAGTACAGAAATGAAGCCCAACAATCATGTTTACAGTCCTGTGGTCTCAGCCTCAGATACTCAACTGATCACACAAAGCTCGTGTAGAAACAAACAAACAGATGAACAAACATGTTCTCCTTCATTTCTGTCACACACAGCTGTATGACACGTTTCCAGCTGTTAGTATCAGCGTGACAGGGACTGGACGGTCCCACACAGCCCACGAGTTTGCAACAAACTTGCCGTTTATTTTGCAAATCGAGCTCAACACTGCCCCTAGTGTCCAGGAGCACTTCTGCTGTGTTTTGGAGTTTGTAAGTGTTTTGTCTCTAGGGGCCACCGTAGATATCAAACTGAACGAGGGAGTGAGGACGTGTGCACAGCTGTTCATTCAGTCACTATGAATGAAAGTCAGAGGTCCCTGGAGATCCTGAGAACCTGCATCAGGCCCTCACGACAGGTTAACGACACCTGAACAACAAAAGTCTCAGGTGAGCTCAAACTGAGCCGGAAACTGAGGACGTCATTATTAACACAACAGCAGCAGCGTGCTGTGGTCTTCTT